GGACATGACAAGATTAGCAGCAGTGTGTGCAATAGATCACCTCACATGGGTTGAGGGGGTGATTTGTTGGTATCACCCCATGTGAAGAGGGTGATTCTCTCCAATGTGAAGTCGGCTGTGTATGTCCTCGATTGTGGCTGCCAACCGACAAGCCGCCATGGTTGACGATTCACCGTTGTTGAATGACTAGCTGGCCATGTGCAAGGCCAGCCAGCTCTCTCCCTTCTGGGTGTATAAATAGAGGTAGAGAAAGCAGAGGGGAATGTGGTGAGTGGTGAGCTTAAGAGTGATTACAGAAAGAGAATACAGAGTGTTGTAATTCTTTGTTCCATATAGTAAATCTGCTGCCCGTGGACATAGGTGGCTTGCTGAACCACGTTAAATCTCTTGTGTTATTGCTTGTGTGTGTTTCCTGGTGTGCCCCCGATCCACAACAACACACACACACACACACACACAACTATAAGAATACTAATAGACCAATTTTTAGCAATAATCAAACAATAACGTAATTGGAATATGCATTATCTAAAAAAGACAGTCCTAGTGTCCAAGGTCCAATGTTCTAAGATTAGAATCGTTTACCAAACTAGAAAAAGGGATCAGATTAAGAATGAATCAATTGGGTCAATCCAAATCGAACCATGATGTATTAATTATCTCATAAATATATTAAAAATTATAAGAAAAATAATACTAGTTATTCAAATCTCTCTTGTTAGAATCGTACGATTCGTGATTCAAATCATACAATTCGATTCGATACACATAGAAATCGATTCGAACAGGTAGATGGAATCGCAACTTGCATAGAATCACAGCTGAATTGATCGATTCACTATACGAATCGATGAATCGCACGATTCCTTACAGTCGCGGGTCGACCCAGTTTTGTCAGACCCAAATGAAAAAAATTCGATTTGTGGCCCAATTTTTTTGCTTTTTCATGGCAGAAGATGGGTCGCCTGGTCTTCTAAGACCAAACGACAGTCCAACCAAGGTAGCCCATGGTCTCTTTTTACTCCCAATACACAAAATCGTAGAAAGAGTCACCTCTCTGTTCGACACAGAGCTTCGTGGTCCTTCTCACTGTTTGGTGGCCCCTTGCTGCTGGAATCTACTTCGTGGCCCTTTGTATAGTCTTCAAAGCTTTATTAAAGTTCATCCTCTTTTGGTCTTCAACATTTTGTTGAGCTACTACCAGACAAACTTCATATAGGTAATATAAAATGTTATATTGACTTTATACTCTTCCTCTTCCCTTTCCATTACTTTATTGTCCAGGAATGATAGACACCACTAAAAATGGTGCTCTAAACCACTATTACTGAGTTGGCATGTATTTAACAAAAAAAAAAAAACTAAAAATAGTGCTCTAAACCACTATTAATGAGTTGGCATTTATTTAAAAAAAAAGAGGGCACAACAGCACTTTAAGAGTAGGTGAGGCCTACTGCCACATCATTAGTGGTAGCACTAATTAGTGCTCTCACTCATTTTCTCTTTATTGTCTATTGTGGACGGTTGAAGTATTGAAGCTGTTGCTGTATGGGTGGCACATTAAAAAAATATTTTGCTTTCTTTAATGGATAAAAAAATACGAAAAGGAAAAAAAAAAAGTGGGAAACTGGGACCATTGTACCCGTGTTAAAGATGATAATAGAATGCATTTGAGATGTAATCATTGTGGAAAAGATTACTGGGGTGGGGTGATTCGAATGAAAAAATCATTTAGCTGGAATTCATGATAATGTTGGTGCTTGTAGTCAAGTTTCTAAAGATATTATAAATATGGTTTCACAACTGTTAAGTGGAAAAAAAACAAGACAATATTATAGATGTTGATTGTTTTGAAGAAAAAAATATTGAGGGGAAAAGTAAAGGGGGAACTATGGATGCGTATGTCACAAAGAGGAGGGCAAAGCAACAAAGTTTGAATCAAATGGTGAAGCAAAGGGAGCCCGTAATTAGAGATATTTGTAGAGTCATTTATGGGCATGCATTGACTTTTAATTTAGTGAAAATCCCCTTGTTTAAAAAGATGTTGAAGTCGGTTGGTGAGTATGGTGTGGGATTAAAACCACCTAATTATCATGAAGTGAGGGTATCTTTTTTGAAAAAAAAGGTTGATCATGTGAATACAAGTTTAGAAGTGTATAGAAAGGAATGGAAGAAGACTGGTTGCACTATAATGTCCGATGGATGGACCGATGGAAAGTCTCGCTCTCTTACTAATTTCCTTGTTAATAGTCCAAGTGGAATGGTGTTTATTAAATCAATAAACACCTCCGGTGCAATTAAAAATTCTAATTATTGTGAATGAAATTGAGGAAGAAAATGTGGTTCAAGTGGTAACCGATAGTGCATTGGCCTATGTGGGTGCCGGTAAATTATTGGAAGAGAAGAGGACTAAATTGTTTTGGTCCTCATGTGCAGCACATTGCCTTAACTTAATGTTAAGTGACATAGGTGAGTTGACGGTTTTCAAAGATACAATAATTAAAGCCAAGGAAATCGCTGTTGTGTACATTTATAGGCATGCTTGGATGCTTGATTTGTTCAGAAAATTTACAAAGAATAGGGAGTTAACAAGACCTGCGGTTACTAGATTTGCCACTGCCTTCCTTACTTTAAAAAGTTTCGAAGATAGAAAGCTCCAACTTAGAGCTATGTTTGCATTGGAAGAGTGGGCTAGAAGCAGCTATTCTACATCTGTTAATGCAAAAAAGGCACAAGGAACAATCTTGGGAGATGCTAGATTTTGGAAAGCAATCAAGTATTGCTTGAAGTGTGTGCTCCCTTTGGTGAAAATTTTGAGGCTTGTGGATGATGATGCAAAGCCGGCAATGGGATTTATTTATGCAGCTATGGATAGAGCAAAGGAAGAAATTGCTTCAAACTTGAACCATGTGAGGGGTAGATATAAGCGCATTTGGGAAATTATTGATACTAGATGGGATTTATAACTCCATATGCCTTTTCATACGGTGGCATTTACCTTAATCCGATGTAAATTTTTTACTCTTTTTGTCTAATTATTTGTGTTGTGTTGTGTGACTTATATACAAAATTTGTAATGGAATTTATTTATGAAGTTATCTTTCTTTCTAGGTTTCATTATCAAGAAAACTTCATTGCAGATACGGAGGTGAAAATTGGTTTATTTAAAACCATTGAGAGGATGTATCCAGATATAGAGGATAGAATGAAGGTTGATGAGCAATTAATTAGAAAAGTTCAAGAAGACCGAGGGTATGTTTTGTATGAGCATGGCCATCTTGACAAGGGAAAAGAAACAACCTGGTAAAATTTTTTATTATGAAATTGTATATTCACAATTTCATAACAATTATGTTGGCAATGGCATGCATTATTCTCTAACATCTCTTTATCATTTAATTGCAGCTCTATGGTGGGAAAGTTATGGAGAAGAGTGCAAAGAGCTTCAAAAGCTAGCTATTAGAGTGCCAAGTCTTACTTGTAGTGCCACCAGGTGTGAGAGAAATTGGGGCACTTTTGATCATGTGCACTCAAAGAAAAGAAACCGATTGGAGTAACAACAGTTGAATACTTTGGTTTTTGTGAAGTATAACATTCAACTTGAGTTGAGGCAAATTAAGAGACAAGAAAGGGGTGAGACTTATAATCCTATTTATTTATCGGATATGGAATCCGATGATGAATGGATTATCAAGAAAGAGAATCCATGTCTTCTCGAAGATCATTCAAGGATGGACATCCAAGAGTGTTTCGAAGATGATGAAGGAACAACAACTAGCAAAAAAAGAAAAAGAGGTATAATTCTATATTTTAATTTTTAAATAAGTTAATTTCAAAGATTTAGTTTCTATATTTTCACATTTATTTGCTCATTCATAACCTTATTTAATTTTATTAATGTAGGACCAAGAAATTTAAATGCCACCGATAGAGGAGAAAGAAAAGTATTTGAAGATGATGATGAAATTGAATTGATTGAAGGTGGAGAAGAGGAAGAGGAAAAAGAGTTTGATAAAGTGACTATGGTAGATGATAATGACGATGATGACTCTGATATTGACCTTGGAGATGATGAAGATTGAAACGAAGAAATGAAGGCTTTTTGGAATATTTAACTTTGTCTAATCTAACTTTTGTTTTGTATGGTCTCTTTTTGACACAAGTTACTTTACAAGTATAGATTAGAGTTTTGAAAAGTTTAGAACTTGTTAAGTTGTGAGCCTTATTCATAATCATACATTCATAGAATCATATTATAATGAATGTGGATTGCCATACATATATGTTGTGATGTGAATTTACATAAATTATATCATAAATACATAAATATAATATAGAACGATAAATCACGGTGGGGCTCGGACCCACATCTCTTGCCATAAAAGGGTCTTACCTATGTAGACCACGTGATCATCATGTAAAATAACATTTTCATTACTTTAAATCTAAATATTTCATACTTATAATATTTAAGTGTATAAATATGTTTTTTTATGTAATTTAGAAAACGTAATTGAATCTTTACGATTCACGATTCGATTCAATTCGTGATTCGGTACATGGCCATTTCGATTCACAATTCGAATCCCGATTTGACAACTATGGAACAAAGTGTGGAGTATATACTGGCTGAAACACAAACTGGATATTTGATTACAAAATTCATCAACCAATATACTGGATAACTAATAACTAATATCTAGTTATAGGAAATAGTTCTCTAACAATTTGTGTGGAGTATCAACGAATATACTGGATATGATTACAAAATTCATCAATTAATAAACATTACCCAATGAATACAAGAGAACAAGAGACATACCAGAGTGTGGAGTGACATACCAGAGAACATGAGAAGAGAATAAGATGAAAAAAGAAGAGGAACAGAAGAAGAGAAGAGGAGAGAAAAAGAGCAAAACAGATATAAATCACAAACTAAAATCACTGACAGACACAGATAGAAATCACACAGACACGGATATAAAATCAAAATCACAGACCTCTAGTTTTCGAACTCTTTGTAAGCTTCTTCTTCTTCTTCTTCTTCTTCTTCTTCTTCTTCTTCTTCTCTCTCTCTCTCTCTCTCTCTCTCTCTCTCTCTATGTAGAACCCTTACACTCTAATATCACCACCTCTTTGCTTTTAGAACTGTAAGAAAATAAAAAAAAAATAACAGATTGAAACTCAAATTCAAATTCACAGAATTTAGAGCTAACAGAATTAAGGGTCCAAAATTATAGAATTTAGAGCTAACAGATTGAACAGAATTTAGGGCTGTAGACACAAATTTTAAAACATGAATTGTTTCAACACATTTCAAAATGTTATGTTACAAATGTCCACTGTTTAGTTTTTTGGACTAAACAGCGTTGATTATTTGAATAGCAGGTTCTTATTTCCGATTTGTGTTTCAGATCGTTAATTACACATTTTATACAATGAAACCTTCAATTAATGAAGAACAAAATAAACAACAAAAGACAATTTAAGAAAAATAAATATTTTATTGAAATTGTTATGGGTTTTGAACCCTCGAATACAAAATACAATTTTTGGGTTTGGAACCCTTTACCTATTCATCGCCATTAGCGTAGGTTCTTGAGTTCACTAGGCTTCTCTTCTTCTTTCTTGTAACGATTTCTTTAGCTCTCAATTTCTCTCTCTCTCTCTCTCTCTCTCTGATCTTTTCACTTCTGATTTCTTAATCCTCGTCTTGTGTGATAGTCCTCATATTTATAGAGGGCCATCAGGTGATAGGAATGCCTCATCTTCGATTTGAATTTCAAAATGAATGATAACGCCATTTGAATTTTGAATAATAACGCTATCTGATTAATCGTATATCTAATTAACTGGATTGATCTTGGGGGTTTCATCCTGTGTGGTGTCCTTGCTGTAAGCTCTACAGGTGTCATCTTTCGTAGGCTCCACGTGTCACTTGAGCATCTTGAATAACGTCGTTGAGATACAACATTGTTTTATTTATGTACTTCATGATGATATTTTTTTTTTAGGAAGTGATTACCTACAATCTTTCTATTATAGGCTCTATATGTGTCATAAATCTAATTGAAATTTATGTGCCAACAAATGCCTCTCGTGACTTGCACAAGTGAATTTTCTTAACTGTGCGAGTCACGACAATTTGGCACTTTTGTCTGCATGATCTTTAGGTCTTGGATGGGATTATTTCTTTGCTTTGGTCCCTGACCTCTTTTTTTTCTTTTTTCTTTTTTTTCTTTTTTTTTTAGGGTTGACGGCTTTTTCATGAGCCCTTTTACTTTTGTGGCATGGGTCCTTTTTGTGGACTTGATCTTTTTTTTTTAAATAAAGGGCTAATTGCCCTTTATAGTCCATGGGCCATTTACTTCTGTTGCATGGGTCTTTTTTGAAGACTTGATTTTTTTTTTTTTTGAAGGGTCATGAGTAAGGTCCAAGATTTAATTGGACATTTCCTTTTGTGGGCCTCCAACTTGTCACCATTTCTTTTTACAACAAATTTTTTTTTTAGGCCATCATGGACCTTTCCTTTTCTAGGCCATCATTTTTTAATTGGGCCTTTTCTTTTGTAGGCCTCCAACTTGCCACTTTTTTCTTTACAACAGATTTTTTTTTTTTTTCCCTAGGCCATCATGGACCTTTCCTTTTCTAGGCCACCATTTTTTTAAATTGGGCCTTTTCTTTTGTGGGCCTCCAACTTGCCACTTTTTTATTTTATTTTATTTTTTATTTTTATGATTATTATTTTTTTTAGAAGATTTATATATATATACATATATATATTTTAGGAGTTTGTCTATATGGAATAGGATGGGTTGGCATTGGTAAGATTTTTAATCCTACACAAACTCTTCTATGGAGTATTTCAAATCCTACATAAACTCTTGCTTCTTTGAAGTATTTTAGGAGACCACTACCTCTTTTCTTAAGCAAGACTTTTTGCTTATATAACACCTATTCATATATTTTTTTTCCTGCAGCCCTTTTATTTCCCTGCAGATTTTGTAGTGATATTAGGTCTTCATCCTTCTAGCACCTTTCCAGCAGAATTTATTCTTGGTGAACACAGAAGATTCCTTTCTAATCCCTTCATACTTCCAGTAGAAATTGTTCTTCTTATACTTTTAAGAAGACATAAGGTCATATCAAGTATGCTTTCCTTTTTTTTTATTTTTTTCATGCAACCAGAATTTTTTGCAGCATGTATACAAACATTAAACTGCTCCTCACTTTTTTTTTTCAGCATTTATATATTTTCCTGCAGCCCTTTTTTTCTTTCCTGTAGATTTTGTAGTGATATTAGGTCTCCATCCTTTTAGCACCTTTCTAGCATAATTTATTCTTGGTGAACACAAAAGGTTCCCTTCTAATCCCTTCGTACTTCTAGCAGAAACTGTTCTTCTTATACTTTTAAGAAGACATAAGGTCATATCAAGTATGCTTTCTCTTTTTTTTTTCTTTTTTTTTTCATGCAACCAGAATTTTTTGCAGCATGTATACAAACATCAAACTGCTCCTCACTCTTTCTTTTTTTTTTCTGGAGCAGTCCATTTTTCTTTTGAATTAGAAAAGAAGCAGTCTTCTTATGCCTTGCATTTATATTTGTCTTATTGTCCTTTACCAATTCAGAAAAAAGCACTCTTTTTAGTATAGGCCAACCTTTTTTTTTTTATACAGCAAACTAGTACTGCTACCAGCCTCTTTATTGGCTCTTGTATTTTTTTAAAGGACTCCTACAACAGCCTCATATAGATATGCAACAGAAAGCTTCTTCTTCTTCTTTCTTTTTTTTTAGCAACATGTATACAAACATCAACCTGCTCCTCACACTTTTTTTTTTTTTTCAAAGCAGTCCATTTTTCTTTTAAATCAGAAAAGAAGCATCCTTCTTATATCAGGTATACACCATGCCTTGCATTTATATGTCTTATTGTCCTTTACCAATTCAGCAAAAAGCACTCTTTTTAGTATAAGCCAACTTTTTTTATATAGCAAACTAGTACTGCTACTAGCCTCTTTATTGGCTCTTATATTTTCTAAAGGACTCCTGCAATAGCCTCATATAGATATGCAGCAAAAAAATTTTTTTTTTTTTTTTTGGCTAACCATAAGCCCAAACAAAGACCTTTCTTGTTTAAAAAGAAAAAACCTGCTATACCCTTTTGTGTAACAGCACATATTTGTTTATTTAGCAGATTTTTATTTTTTTTTAAAGCCTACTGCCTTTTATTTTATTTTGTATTAGTAGTTGGCCCAATTGAACAAAACTTCTTCTCTTTTTTTTTTTTGAATCTAATCTAATCAAAGCATGCCCCCTCATGATTCGTGCAAGTGAATTTTAATTGTACGAATTACGATTTTTTTTTTTGGCAATTATTTCACGTCTTTTTCCCTCTTTTGCAGGCAACACACAAGGCGTTAGAGTTTGTTTACAGGTATCATTGCCCTTTCCAACCTAATGGCAATGAGTGGCTTGAATCCTTGGCAGTGATTGTGCCGTCACCCCAATGGCTTAAATCCTTGGTAGTGATTGTGTCCTTCACCCCAATGGCTTGAATCCTTGGCAGTGAATGTATCCTTCACCCCAACGGTTTGAATCCTTGGCAGTGATTGTGTCCTTCACCCCAACGGCTTGAATCCTTGGCAGTGATTGTGTCCTTCACCCCAACGGCTTGAATCCTTGGTAGTGATTGTATCCGTTATCCTAACGGCTTGAATCCTTAGCAGTGATTGTATCCTTCACCCCAATGGCTTGAATCCTTGGCAGTGATTGTGTTTGTCACCCCAACGGCTTGAATCTTTAGCAGTGATTGTATTTGTCACCCCAACGGCTTGAATCCTTGGCAGTGAATGTGTCCTCACCCCAATGGCTTGAATCCTTGGCAGTGAATGTGTCCTCACCCCAATGGCGTGAATCCTTGGCAGTGAATGTGTCTTTCACCCTAATGGCTTGAATCCTTGGCAGTGATTGGGTCTGTCACCCCAACGGCTTGAATCCTTGGCAATGATTGTGTCCTTTACCCCAACGGCTTGAAACCTTGGCAGTGAATGTGTCCTTCACCCCAACGGGTTGAAACATTGGCAGTGATTGTGTCCTTACCCCAACGGCTTGAGTCCTTGGCAGTGATTGTGTCTGTCACCCCAATGGCTTGAATCCTTGGCAGTGAATGTGTCCTTCACCCCAATGGCTTGAAACCTTGGCAATGATTGTGTCCATCACCCCAATGGCTTGAGTCCTTGGTCAAGGGGCTTTTATCAATTTCTTTATATTATGACATTTTGCCTTCACTAACCATTTTTCTATTTTTTTTTAATTTTTAGGAAGCATGGAAAAGACACTTGAATATCTTCGACGTGACGAGAGGGATGTACTGGATAAATCTGGTTCGAAAATAATTCGGTACAAACCTATCACTGTTTTATTGTCACCCACCGAGTTAGACCCTTATATCCCTTTACATACGGCTTCCGAAGACTTGGTCTATACAGGAATTCGAAACTGCTATGAGATTCTCGAGCAAGGGCACTCCAAATCAATTGGTTCATTCCCTGTCTCAATCCTTTGTCCATTTTCTGAAGACCTTGACTGCTCTGAATTTAATACTCTTCTTAAGAGAATGAAGAATGAAAAACTGAAGTGGGATAATTCTTTTAACGTCCGCGGCATTTTTACCTATTTGTAATCCCCCATATGGATTTTTTGGTTGAATGACGTTCTTTCCACATTTGCCTCTATTTTGAAGAAGTATGGGATTTATGCTACAATCTATGTATCCCAATTTGTTTATGCTAGGAATGTCTCCCTACTCAAAGGATTCTTAGAGCGGTGGTCACCCGACACCAACACTTTACACACCATTTACGGCGAACTTGGGATCTCTTTATGGGACCTTCATCGCATTAGCGGGCTCCCCATTCGTGGCGAGTTTTATGAAGAGTTCACCCCCTCCAATGACATTTTATATTCGTCCCAGACATCCAAGGCGTGCCGTGGGCTTTTCAACATTTATGCCAGCTCTTTTCAATCCAAGAAGTTTAACCACTAGACTTTCAAATTCATTGACGAATCCCCAACTTCGATTAGTGGTTTTTAACGAAAAGATAGAATTCCTGATGATGTGTATCTTTC